TACTTGAAATTCGATATAAATTATGTGCGGTCATAGTCTGTTGGCGTGTTCCAGCGAAGTGCGGAGTAGAACGCCAGAAACCTCATTAAATTGTACGCAAATCTGGGTTTCGCTAGAAAATACTTGCCTCATGCCTTTTCCATCTCAAATTTTTTCCTTCTATTGCTGACATTTTTGGCGCACTTTTATTGTGAAAATAATTTTTAATGATTTCCTAGTTACAATAGCCTTGCTTTTGGTCTCATATCGTATAACACATCTATTTTGGTCTATTTCGAAACGTGCTGCCGAGGTGTTGACCAATATCCATTTAGAATTTATTTCTATGGAAAAAGAATTTGTCGAAAATTGTGTCAATTACTGTTTGATGAGCAAAAATTTTGCAATGCAATTGACACCAAACTTTGAAAAAATTAATAGTTTGGAAAACTGTCAACTACGATTAGTTCTTTCTTTTTTTTTAAATAAATTTAACTTTATTTGTTAATTGCAATTTGTCCATGGCCATAGAATGTTGTTGATAAAAAAAAAATAACTCAATCATTAAAATGTAAAAAAAAAATACTATGTCCCTTAAAAATAGAAATAAATTAATTCCATAAATGTGTGTATCATAATTTAATGGAGAAGTTTTGAACAGTAGTGTACTACAGCGACAAAAATTCATTTTATATTATTTTAATTAATTGAATTTTAGGCTGACCATACAACTGTTTCAAATATAGCCACATACCTATCTTCAGTGGTCTTGTAAAATAAATTCTTGTATTTAATCATTCATAAATAATCTTTTTAAGATTCCAAGTACCAGAAATCCAACTCGTGCCCTGCCAAGTTTGAAGCTCAGGGTCAGCGCTCCTTAAACAACTGACACAAAACCATAATTGACTTTTATGTCTGGAGTTTTGTTAATTTGTTGTGAAAGCTTTTGATTAACAAATTTATTTGCTGTGTTTATATTAGAACGAAATCAAAAACAGGCTGTAGAATAATTGAATTAATTTCTTATATTTATATTTTTAATTGTGAAATTTCAACAATATACTTTTGTAGAGGCATTTCTTTCTATTTATATAGAACCTAGTCTAGGAACCTAATGCGGAGAAACTCATACCAATGTTACTCTACGATTCGCGTCAGCCAGAGTTTCTGTTAAAGCAAAAATAGTCACTTCTGTCTTATTGCGTTAAAATCAAATTTAATATGCATAATTTAAATATAATTCGTTGAATTATTCAATTATATCGATTGTTAAGGAACGATTGGAGAACAGCAAAATCATATTATTTCATTATAGAGATTACTTTTTACGAAGCAAAAAGTCATTAACATAGACTATTAGATATTACTCACATTTTGCAATCTTTTAGAACTATAACATAAATAGATAAAAAACAGCAGAGCATATAGTTAGAGTTGACTTCTTTTCAATGAATAATAATGAATAATAAATAATAATAAAACAAATACTAATTGTGGTTTTAATGAAACAAGGTAATCTCCTTACTATCAAGAAGATATCAGACAGACATATTAGAAAGGGACACCACAGGGTGGATCTGCCTGGCAGTGACAGAGTCATTGGATAATACTGGCTCTGTCTTCTTGCTCTTTAGAGTAGGTAATTGGGTTTTATTACTCTAAACTCTAATTACGTCAAAAAGAGTTTAGGTTTTCAAGAAATTTCGAAGTATTTTAATTAGCAAAAGAGAGCATATCTGAAAAAAAATAAATACAAACATGTTCAAGAAATGTGTGAACATAGAATATTTCGTTAATTTTAAAATTTGAAATAAATTCAAAATTTTTAATTTTAAATTATTTATTTAATTGATTATATTATAAATTATGTATAAAAAATTCTTTTAATATTCGTTCAATTCTATGTAGAATATTTATGTATATTTTCCATATAAAGACAATGAATAAATAAATAAATCTGTTTAAGCTCATATATAAGAATCTGTTCAAGAATATAATACTGAGTTAACAATACATAAGCTTTGAGCTATAAATGCATTCAAATAATTGCTCTAATCTAATCACAACAAATTTTTACTCACCATCATTTTTATAATAGTTTTCTAGCCTAGTCAGAGTAAGCACCTTGCAGTTGAAAAATGTGCCCATTAGATGAATCATAGTGGAAGAATTTCCTATACATCACCGCTAATACATTCTCTAGCATTATGTGGAATGACTCACAAACAAAATGCATCCGTAATACTTAAGCGTGGCATTAAGCCGGCTTTAAAATAGAACAGAGCCTTAATAATATTTTTGATTCGTTTCTGTATTTGTTTTCATTTAAAAAAATTAAAATTCTGGATAAAGCTGGGTTGTGTTTGTTAATCCATAACTGGTCACAGAAAATGTCAGTGCATCTAATCAACAAAATAATAAAGACAAATTTAATCAAAGTTATTAATTTTAATAATAGCTAAATGCTAATCAAAACTTTATAGGAGCACCGGAAAATATGACGAATCAATTGCCGGTAATTATCAATAAAAGACTAATTATATGAAATGAATTATTATATTTTCAACGCTCCTAAAATACTATAAATTAAGTGGTTTTGGTATTTGAAATCAGTTAAATAAATTACGGCTTAATTTATGGTCAATAATTACTAAAATTTGCAGTTGATAAATGGGGACATCAAAATAATTGAGTTTAGAATGAGAAATATAAAGATTTTTATTATAATATATTTCTTTAAGCATAATTTATATATGTTAAATTTTGATCAAGGCATAAATTTTGATTAAAATTGTGATGTAAATACCATATCATAATTACAACAAACTTCGTCAGAATCGTCAGAATTAATATATTCATTCCCATGGTCTTCAAAAATTAAGATGCCCTGACTACTAATATTTAACGGCTAATATTTGACTAAGTTCCGCCTTCTTCACTTCTTCATTGGCACCCAATGTCTTTTCCTATAGCATCACTCATAGGTCCGCACACGGCCAATAGTCCCTGGATGTGAGGTTTAGAGATGAACGTGACTGTGAAAGAAAAATTCAAAGCGTAGTCCGTGCAATTTTACCTTTATATTTTCTATCTCAAAAGGAATGTTTTTTCTTCTTCAATTGCGTTTGGCAGTTTCTAACTTTAAAAGGTGATGATTGTACTCTCACCCCAAAAGTGTTCAATCGGTAAAACACTGTGAGCAACTCAAGACAATGCAGACGTCCAAAAATTTCATCAACTGATACATACAATGGATTTCGGTCATGTTTGGTCGATTCCTTCAATTGCTGTGTAGGATTTGACTATACACAAATTGATCAATTATCATATACTATATCAGACACGATATTTTATTACTCTAAAACCTTTTAGAATATCGTTAACACGTTGTTGGTTTTATCAACTTTTAACAAATACACTATTAATTCTAAACACACTTTTCTCATTAACAAATGCACTTCTTATATATTTAACGTATCAGATACCTTTCTAAACTTCCTGAACTAAACTTTATTTGATCAATTAAAGTGATTTCACTACTTTTATGACATTATCTATAGCAACCACATGACTGGAGCGCTTAGAGTAGCGATGGCCACTGAAAGCGCTGATTTATTGTGTATTTAAAGCGCTCTGAGTAGGGCTAACACAAAGTGCTTGGTGTTTTTAGTAATTATAGTAACAAAGCGCTGCAAGAAAACATATTGGTAAAAAGGGTTATCAGCTTTAATAGAGCACTTATTATAATTATAAGTCAACAAATAGTAAGCGATATATAACAATAGTTCGCAATCGATTTGTACTATTTTTTTAAATTCACAATGTTATATATTTTTTATATAACTCTAAAAAATAAAAGAAATTACAAAAAAAATTATTTTCGTAAGACAAACCAAAATATTCAAAATATTTTTAAATAATTTTTAAACTTTTTCGATAAGACAATTTTACATTCTCGTTAATTTGCATATGATATAGAACTATGTATATACTTCACATAGACGAATCATTAATCAAGTATTATTTAAGAATTTATTACATGTCTGTCCGTCCCAATTAAAAATTGACTACTCATGGTGTCTGCAAACTATACTAACTCCAACTTATACAAGTTCGTTAACACTATTTACACTTTCGTACTATTTATATTAAAATAATAATAATCAATAAGAATTTCTTCCGAAACTATTTTATTTATATTAAAGAACTTTATGACTCAATTCCGGAAAGATCACGGCTTAATAAGACTAAATTCATAAACTGAAATCGAATATAACCTAAAAACTATTCACTGACTCGAACTAGAGATAAAAAATCGATTAGTGTTACTTTTCTTGACATTGTCTACATTATCTTTGACATTTACCTTGCATAATGACAAAACTCATTAAAATGTAAACGATTTTCTACGGTGTTACCTTAAATACCGAGTAAATAAAAGCACCCGAGCTTCGCTTGCCAACAACCAGTCTAATCAAATTAGTGAACAAGATGTTACCAATGCCTAAAATATTCCGATTTTTGTTATTATTTTCAATATTAATGGTTTTTGTGGATATGGTCACATCAGAGCCGACATGGAATTGGGACGACTTCCGTAGTAAGTTTGAGATCCTTGCGATTATTTAACTTATCCAGTACTTTTGTTGTTTTTTGATGTTTGTTTTTGTTTTGTTGGTGCCTACAACAATGTTTCAGATTATTTTAGCAACATATTTGGCTCCGTATTTGGACCGCTATTCGGATATGAAACTTCTATTACACCTGTAACAAATCGTCCAAAATAATAATGCACGTCTTCAGTTCGTTTCTGGTATAATAATTTAATGAATCAATCAATATTATCTATAATGCCAGCAGATCACAGCACTACTTAGTTGTTTATATACAGCCTAATAACAAATCGTATTTGTTATGTTAATAATATTAGTTATAATAAATTAGTTAATTACACTTAGTAGTTAATAATAAAAACAATATTTAAAATATGTATATATTTTTTTATTTCAAGAATTTCTAAAACTCATCCCCGTATTTTATTATTTATTATAAATTGCATAACTGGAGGGTTTCAGTACATATAAATTTTATATAACGGTTTACATTTTGCTTATTTTTGCAAAAACTATAACTATTTCGTGTATTTTAACTAAATTTTTGATTTATCATTCTTATTGAGTTGTGTGCTTTGTATTGCTTCCTTCAGTATATTCAATACTAAGTCTACCTTCTCAATCGTGGCATTCTCACCCATTAAGCCAATGCGAAAAACTTGTTCTACTGTGGGTCCTAGCCCTCCGCTTATCTCAAGATTGTACCTGCGATTTATTTGGTTTTAGTAAATAAAATTAAATGATAAAAATATAATTTCTACTCACTTCCGCATTGCATATTCTGCAACCTTACGCCAGTCAACACCAGGTGGTACTTTAATTGTATTAACCGTAGGCAACCTATCGTTCTCATCCGACACAAACATTTCTAAACCAATCTCTTCGATACCATCTTGCAACCTCCAAGCACACTCTTGATGCCTGTGTATAACATTTTCAAGACCAATAGCACAGAGTTGTGCTAATGCTTCTCTAAGCCCATATAATAATGTGGATGATACTGTATGATGATATATTCTTGGTTTGTTAAAACAATTCCAATATTGACCAATCAACATGACATCAAAATAATACACTTTAACCTTCGACTTGCGTTTTAATACGTGTTGTATTGCACGCTGATTGAACGATATCGGAGTTATGCCAGGTGGCGCACCAAGTACTTTCTGCGAACCCGTATATGCCACATCAACTTTCCAGGCGTCCATTAGAAACTCAGTGCCGCCTAGTGAAGCAACAGTATCAACTATTAACAAACAATCGAATTTACGACACAATTCCCCAATTTCTTTAATGTGCGTCTGAAGTATGCCCGTTGAAGAGTCACCTTGAGCAATGAAGAATATTTGTGGGTTGTGACCTTCAAATGCAAATTCAAGATCATCCATTTTTAGTGAACGACCAAAACGCGCTTCTACATAGCGTATATCTGCACCATATCTGCGTGCCATCTCTGCCGCCCGATGACCCCAGACGCCTGTTGGACCCAAAAGTACGACATCACCGTCTTCAATGAGATTACACAGCGCCATTTCCATGCCAGCATGACCAGAGCCGCTAACACACATCGTTGCTTCGTTTGTTGTCTGAAAAGCGTATTTTAAACCTGCCTTGATTTCATCCATTATCTACAAAGAAAGTGTTGCATTACATTTTTGTTCTTGTTCATCTCTACTAAATATAGAATGCGTAGGTTGAGGGACTTTGCCTTACACATAAAAACGAATTGCACTTTGCACGCTGGAATGCCGCAGACGAATCGATAGAACTGTGCCTGAATTAAGACAAATGCTGTGCAATCGCTATCTGCAAATTTTGCAATGAAGCTTAACGATGTTGTCTCGTAGCCTATTTAAATAAAGTATTTAACCTATAGTTGAAAAAAAAAATTCTTTCTTACAAAAGGGTTGCAAGGCCTTGTAATGGTTGCACTCAATAAAGACATTATGACATTTAACTTTTGAGATGGTTATCTTTTTTCAGATTCAGTTCTAAATTATTGTAATTAAAATAATTTAACAATTAAAAATAAAAATAAAATAAAAAATAATGCAATTATTATACAGCTGGTTTATGACTTCGTTCTAATATAAACACAGCAAGTGAATTTGTTAATAAAAACTTTCTAAGCAAATTAACAGTACTACAGAAAAATGTGCGAACATAACAGTGAAGTACGGTTTTGGGTCAGTTGGTTAAGGTGCACTGACTCTGAGCTTCAAATTTGGCAGGACACGAGTTCGATTCCTGGTACTTGCAGTCTCAAAAAGATTATTTATGAATAATTTAAAGAAAAATTATTTCCAAGGCCACTGAATGATGGGTATTTGGCAATACTTGAAACAGCTGTACGGTCAGCCAAGAATTCAATTAATTAAAATAATATAAAAAGAATTTTTGTTGTTGTAGTTTTACTATTGTTCGAAAAACCTCTTAATTAAAATAATTTTAATTTAAATTTTATTAAATATTTAATTTTTTTTTATTTTATATATACATATATTTATATTTATACATTTACACTTTTTTTTAACCAATTTGACAGTGACTTATTATATTATATAATAAAAGAAAATCTACCCTTTAAAATGATTTCGAATAATAATCTTCTAATTTTTCTTTTTGGCAATTAATTATGATATAATTGACTCAGACACTTAAATTAAAAACACTACATATATTTACTATACTATCTTTTAATATACCTGGAAACTAAAGCTAATTAAAAGTTAAAAATTATTGCTTAAGTCGCTGTAGAGCAGATTATCTGACATTGAAGTAAACAAATCACAGATTGAAAGCTCTTTAAAATCTAAAATTGATAGAGATATGATGAGATAAGTGTTGATTATGTGATATAGTTCAACTATTTGCAAAATTACTGTAGTTATGTGATCGTCAAACGTGGATAAATACATTTGATTCGTACGAGTTCTGTCAAGAAAGGACTACAAAATAATCATAGGTATAATGGCGGGCCACAATTTATTAACATAAGCGATCCAAAAAGGAACTTCATTAACATTATATTTATAAAATCCAGAAAGAAGAAGATTTTGGAGCACTTCGTACGTTTAAGTATAAGTATTCACAATCAAGAAATTGGAATAAATATCAAGAATAGAGTGTCTTTCAGAATAAAATAGAGAACTCCTTTAATTCGTCAAAATCAGTGACATACTATATGATGCCTCTCTACTATAATTATGTCTCTAAGTTTACGTAGATATTAAGTATTATCTGTTAACACCAAGGTGCAATGGATAGTTTGCAGATAGTCAGGTAGACCTAACCTTATCTAAGTGACTGAGTGACTGTATTTAAATAATTATGTATGTAAAAGAAATAATTCAATATATTATTTTTCATGAAAGTAAAAAATCATACCAAGAAGGAAAAAGTTTCTTTATTTGATATTTTTATTAATAATTATATTTAAGTTTATAAAATTAAAAACTAATAAGCAAAAATATAGTGCCGGATATAGTTTGTTTTTATATGATGAATTTTTTGCAATCATAAGGGAATAGAAGAATTCTTCGGAAACACTAAAACAAGGTGAGGTATACACCTTGTTTGCTAGTTTTAGAAAAACTTTCTTAAACTTTTAATATTAAAGCCGGTGTTTATATTATAAAAATATATACATAGCTCAAGTAATTTAGAATATATATGTACTAGAAGTATTAACTATTGTTCCTAAAGAGTAGTGATTTCGAACATGACTTTGCAGGTAGTATTTCCCAGTGTAACGCAGAAAACCAATCTTTTTTGAACTCTAAACTGTTGTGAAATGGTTTTATTTAAGTAATTAATATAAATAACTAATTTGTTATTTAAATTGCAAAATAAATGTACAATTTTCATAAATTTCATTTCTAGGAATTTAATCTAACTTATTTGTAGATTAAGCTATTAATACAGATCATAGGAAACTGTAATCTAATTGTCTAAAATAAAATTAATGCTCATTTTGATCGTAACGATGACATATATATTTTTTTTTGTTATTAATATATTTTTTTCCAAAGACCAAATATTTAAAATAAAAAATAAATTAATTAGCACTTCATGGTGATGCTAATTAGATAAACTAATACAGCGAAATATCAGAACACATGAAATAAAATTATGTACAGTATGTTCTTAATAATTCGTTAAATCCACAACCTAAGAACCATTGAAACATGATTTATTTAGGTTATTAAGAATCTTCCGAATATTATATTACATGTTTATTTCATTAGGTACAATACTAGGATTTATGTATCCTTAATCCTAAGATATTAGCAATCATGCGATTGCTTACAAAATCTTTATCTTGGTTAGTTTAGTGAGTCTTTCTGTGATTGACTTTAGTTCTGAAGAATTCTTATTATTAATAATATATATAACTTATTTTAATATAATAACTTTAAGGGGAATATGAACTGGTGCAAATAGATATAAGTATATTTATAACTAATATATTAAGTTGAATAACTTCTGCATTTCCGTAGATGTTTCTTATATATTATAGAATACATTATTATATTATTGAGAGGAGATGTGGGACTGTGACCAACGAGTCATACTATATAGTATTTTAATACAATTCTTTTTGTATCTAATATCTTATATCTTAAGTGAAATTATTTCTCGGTTTTTATTGATGTTTCTTATGTATAATACATGGACTTATATATGAGGAGTATGAACTTGCATCTAGTATATCTTAGTTAAATAACTATTTAAATATTTATAAATACTATTAATTGTGCATAAATCTATATATCATTTTTTTACGTTTTTTAGATTTAGAACTTAATTTTTTTTTTGCTTAAACAAACGGGGAATTAAATGATTTGGGACGGATTTTACACAACTCGTAACTTAAGTGTTAATACAGAATTAAGTCATACTGAAGTCATCTACTTTGCTGACTTAATTCATACTTAATTAAGGTTGGGATTTAAGCCACGATTGTGAAATCGACCAATATTCTTTCTGGAGGATTCTAGACAGCTATACAAACTACTTTTGAAGACTATTTTAGGCTATAGTAAATGTTTGAAATAGTTTTGAAACTCTTGAACTATATATGACAATATAGAGAGTTTCATTGTAACATAAGCTAACTTCACCTAGTTCTATATATTTCTTCGCAGCATTTTTTTAAATTAATTATTCAATATATTGTGCTATACGTATTACCTGCTGTGTAAATATACACTATCAGGCCTATTCTGAATACTCCCAGCGAAAAAACTCCCTATTCGCACGCTGTTCCCGAACACACAGCTCCCTTATTCTGAATCGCTAGGGAGACAGCAGTTTCGTGAACAACAACAATTTCAAATTTGTTTTGTTAAATTTTGGCAACCATGCCACTTTTTAATGACGAAAAGTGAGAAAATGAGCAAAACAAAGAAAAGAATTGCGTATCATATGTTGATTTAAATGTAAAAATCGCATTATTTGTTTGCTGCACAAATTATCGGAAATAAATATAAGTTATTTTATGAGTAAATAATAAACAATTAGAAACTTTTATTTTAATGAGTAAAATAAATATATAAAAAGAATTATGCATGAGCAAAATAAACCAAATGCTAAATTCTAAATTTTGAACTCTTTTTTAAACTAATTAAAAAACAACCTTACATTATGATATCAATTCTTCAATGTCTTTATTTTCAAACATTCACTGCTTTTATACAAAATTGGCGTAAATTATAATTTAATTTTTTTATATAATTAGGATAGAAATGTCCTTCATGCTTCAATTAATGAACTAATAATAGTTTATAATTGTGCAGATGTTACAATAAAAAAGAAGCAATGTTTTACCTGCACATAATTGCAAAAGTTTATTTTAACTTATTCTAGGAATCCCATTCATTTCAGAATTTGGTCTCCTTTCATTTTTCTATTGTTTTAAAAACAATAGTTAACACTTTAATTAGTGAAAAAAACCCGTGTTAATAAAATAAATAAATAAAAATTTAAATATTTCAAATTTGTTATAATATTATTAAAATAATAATTTTAATAAAATATATTAAATGAAAATTTTGTTATATTAAATTTATTCAAATAATTTTATTAATATATATGCGGAAAACTAATCAACTCTTGTGGATAAAATATAAAAATAAAACTTTGAAAATATTAAATTTATTGTAATAATTTTATTAAAATAATAATTTTATTAAAATATATTCAAAAATCTGATCATTTTCAGTTACTTTTATATTAAATTAAACTATTTTTAATACTTTTTTAACTTGTCTCCCCAACAATTTGGTAGCGAGAGAATTTGTGCAAAATTAGGAAAAAACTCACATTCGCATGCGATTCAGAATAGGGGAATTGGGAACAGGGAACATACCAAATTTATTCAGAATAGGGGAATTGGGAACAGCGAACAAACTCGCATTCCCTTGCGATTCAGAATAGGCCTGTATATATATTATTATATATGCAAATGTATCAAATAAGTTGATATTGTTTTGAACTGATTTTATAGACTTTTTATAGTTTGTTTTTATAATTTACTATTTTGTTGTCATTGTGAATTACTTGTCATAAGGAAATTCAAACTCATCACGATGACAGCAATTAATTCATGAGAGAAAAAATTTTTTGCTTAATCATGCTGCTTTTTAAATTTTGTCATATACATTATTATGAAATATCTTTTATTTCTACATATTCCTACAGATTCGTATCTAAGAATAAATATAATCTGGACTAAGCAACAAAAATAAGTTTAATCTGGGCTAAGCAGCAAATAGTATTGATATCATATTGATTAATATATACTCATTTTTAGATGAAAGGTTTTACCTGTAAGCATTCTGGATGTAAATGTCCTAGTACTGGATTACTTAACGCATCCAAAACTCGTTGTGAATAATTTGAAGGTCCCGGTCCCATCAAAGTTTTATTAGGCACATATAGTGGCTGTTGTAATGATTTTGGTGGCGGCACTTCCATGTTGAAAACTACTACTATATTTGTACACTTCAGTAACACTGACTTTTTCAATAAAAAATTAATTTTTTAATTAAAGTATTTCGTTTAGAATTCTCTATTATGCACTATAGTTCCTTTTAGGTTGAAATGCAGAAACGTTATGGATACGTTAGTTGATTAAACAGCTGTATTTATGTGAGTTAAACGTTTCTGTTTATTTTCTTTCGGTTGTCTTATCACAGAGAACTTTATTTTGCTTAGAAGTACTTCATATGGAAATTTAAAATAAATGTTAAAACCACAAAATTTAAAGCCGCACACAAAATCCAGTATGTTCGCTTCTCACCATAGTTTAGGCAAATGAACACTGTTTTAAGTATAAAGAATCTCAATGAGTCTCAGTCTTATCTCACCGACTATTTGGAGTATAAATAAATACTATTTAACAAGAGTGCTTGTGTTTGCAATTATTATATAGGAATTTATTTAAATGATAATTTTTATTATTCGTTATCACTTGTAATGCCTTTCGACTACACTTAACTCTTATGCGCTCCATTCACGGCCCCCTCCCCTCTTTAAACTAGTATTTCAAAAAAATTTTGTGTTATTAGAATAAAATTATAATTTTTGTTATATTTCTTTAAAAGACAATATTTTATGAATTAAATTTATTTTACAATAAATTTAAATTTATATTTTGTGAAACTATACACTTACAAAATTGTCTGTTTCAGATAATTTTACAGCTTTCGGTTATTATTCTGTACCTAATATACAATACCTAATATTGTATACAGAAGTTCTCTAAGATTTGAAGAGATAACAATATTTATTATAAGTGTATGTACTTCAAAGAAATTATTATGAAATTAGCGGTAATGCTTAATTCGTCTTTATTGGTTTTTTATATATACACAGAACTGGCAATTTTTATAAATGTACACCTGTTCATCAGATAATCGTTGTCATTTATGGAAGCACAAGTGGAAAGATTTACCTTTGGTGTATGCAGAGTGCAGCAATTACATTAGTTTAGTTGATTGTATTTATATAGCTTTAAAACTAATCTGTTGTCTATGACATCAATGTGCTAATAGATTTCCGGACTACCACTATTAATCGCAGCTGAAAGTACATTGAAAAGCATTCTCAAATGCATTACAACAGATAATCACTATTTCATCACAAATACTCATACCATTAAAGTGATTTCAAGAATATTTAAAATAAAAATGTTACAATATATAAATATTCTTATATACATTCTAACAATTACTTGATTACACAATTACCAACCCTTGTTAGTGTACTTCTATAAATATTGTATATAAAGAGTGATTAAGCCATCGTCTGCACTAAATTTTGTAGTACTTGTATTTTAAAAAATTAGTGGATCTAAATAGTTCGTTCATTATATATAATTATTATAGACTTATAGATAATGTAACGTTCATTATATATAATTAGTTGCTATTATAGACTTATAGGCAATGTACTGTCCCAGTACATAAAACACATGACGATATTATCGAGCGTTATAACTATGAATTGATGGATGCGATTCTAAGCGTAACAGAAGGTGTTGAAAAGGGTTTGGTGGATGAAATTGTTCAAAGCCTTCCACGAATGAAGTAGAAGACTCATTCAAAATTCTGAATTTTTATTTGCAAACGAATGATGCTACAAGTGATGATCACTATAAGGTTTGGAATAAATTAGAATCTGATAATATTTACTGCTAATAAGAAAAAGAAATTAAAATCCCAAACCCTAATCTCTGAATATTTTATTCACTATAACTTCTGTGCTAGTTGATTTTAAATAAATAAATAAATAATTTAAAATCTGATTCTATTTTCTTTCAAATATAAAAAAATAATAAAAAAAATTCTCTAACTCGAACTCTCTATAAATCGAGCGATTTATATCTAATCGTTGCCGGTCACTGCCAACTAAGAAACCATGCTGAAATATCAAATCTCTATTTTAAGCATTTCTGTTGTGATTGTGGAGAGGACTATGAAAGAGCTTCACAACTATTACTGCTAAGTACTTTTGCAGAGCCGTTTTACTATTTACTAAGGGTGTCCTATTTTGAGAATTTTGGCCAACTTCAGGACTTCCCTTTAAAAAGTATTTTGAGCTTTACCAAAGATTATGGGTGGTTTTTTGAATTTTCAGCGTTTTATACGGTAACACAATAGGCCAATAGGCGTAAATGAATCTGTCGTCAGTATAACTTCAACTAACCTAAGTGTTCCATTATACTGAAATAAGTAACTTAACTTTGTGCGACATAGCTTAAAATTTTTCTAAAAAAAGATTTCAGTTTTATAATAAATATAAAAATATAAAATATAAATAAAAATTAAAGATAACTGCTAACATTTTCTTGACAAAAGCAATTAAGTAAACCTACAGGTTCCTTCAAAATCAACTGCATTTGGTAGATATACATTGCAATTGCTTTTAATATTAAAATAAATTATAATATATCATATTAGTGACTTGCAATAATCATTAGCATTTAGCATCCATAATAAAGGAACCCGTACACTCAATAAGTACTCGAATTCATATTAAAATATTAAATTCTCTTTGCTGATTTCAAACCTTTGATTCAGACCATACAAATGTCATACAAAAAATAATTTTTAACCCTAGTTAATTTTTAATTGACGTCATTGCCACCATTACTAACGTCATTGCCTTGTTGAAAATTACCTTATTAACTTGTGGTTTTGGTAAACTGCTTTATTTCCTTTCGAAGCACCCAATACTTCTTTTCCAAACTTGGCGCCGCCTCAGCACTGATGTTAACTTAGGCACGTACAAAGCTGGGCTTATATTAAGCTAACGTCAAATTTGTAGTCTTCTGTGGCGGCTTGTGACCAATTAAAACGAAATAAAACTTAATGTAGCGTTAACAGATATTAGGCATGCGCCGCGTTCATTATATCCACTGCGTTTTGCTGTCAATGCAGCAACATAAGTCGACTCTCATCAAAGCCCCGCTTAGAGGAATTACTAAATTTTTGGCTTGAGTGCTATTTTTGTTTGTTTGTACAGTTAGCGCGGTACAAATTGTAACGCTTGATTTGTTGCTGCTGTGGTGCCAAATGACAAATTTTAAATGCCAATAGCCGAGGTCTCTGGCTTTATCTTATAATTCAATAATTCGCTGAACGGTGCGCGTTGTTCGCAATTCACAGCCGCCACTCGCAAAGCATACAGCCGTCGCACAAGTCATGTTCTCTCTTCTGAGGTTCTGAGTGTAGTCTGTGTAAGCGAACAAAGTCCACGTAGTGTTCACTCAGTTGTGTTTGCTTTCGCTGCTTTTATTTTCATTTAAACTTAAAATTTATTAACTCACAAAATTCGTTGGTAACCTGAAGTGTTTAGCCGAGTCTTTAGGGCAATTAACGTACATTCGTTTGCATTAGTTATTTCCATAGAATTCCACCGACTTCTCTATAATCGTTTAAAAATATTTCAAATTTTGTTTTGTTTTATTTTTTTTTTTTTTTGCGTACATGTTAAAATATGTTTTAACTTAATTAAATTGTAGACAAATAATTAATTATTTTAACAAATTAATTAATTTTACTTCATAAAAATTTATTTATTTATTTAGATTTTGAGTACACATTTTCATCAAATTTTATAAAACTATTATGTAAATAGTTATATATTTAATTTAAAAGAAATATTGGCATTTCCCAATTAAGGTCTATATAGGTTGACCATCTCCAAGGTAGATAAATAAGTAAAGCTGGCTGATCAAGTTAAAGTATAGTGCTATTAGACCCATAGCAACTAAAGTTAAGAGCACTTAAATGTAGTTTATGATTGTATTTATTACTTTCGCATAAACCTACTCTATCCGTATCGAAGCTAGATTAAAGATCTTAAAGGCAGTTGAGGATAGTATTTATTTCTGACGCATAAACCTATCAAATCGGTAGCGAAGCCAAAGTAAGACCAGGACAGTTAGTGATAGAAGTCATTAGTTACGCATAGACATGCTAGATCCATAGCGAAGGCAATTAAAGTTAGTATACACAGTTGAGACAACATGTATCATTACCGAATTTTAAGAGTTATCTTATACTTATATTAGAATCGAACCTGCAAAACTGATTTCTGCAAAAAAATTTATTCAAGTTTTTTAGATAGCTGTACGGAAATAAAGGAAACGTGTCACATCTGGTTACATACTCTTCTTGTATTCGTCACTATTACTATTGAATTCCAGGCTAGAAAACTACCAAGCGTTTTATAGCTCTCTTTCAGCGAAACGAAAACACTGCTTCAATATAAATGTTACTATTATGGAAAATGTTTTCGAACAAAATTTTAACGCCTCTGTATACGTTTGCCTAGTAGTCTCTATATATACCCTCTTGTGGTGAAGTAGTTCGAATATTTCCAAAGTAAGCCATGCCTATCATAAAAGGCGTTCAAAATCCCGGTGCCAAACCGATACTGTTTGGAGTATGAATGGTAGTGAGTGAGTGAATGTCAGTACTCACAGCTTAGCCCGTTCTAACCAATTAAGCTTGGCAGTGTCGTGATGGCTGTAATGATACCCAAACTTACGCGAGAAATATGATTGTATTTTACTTTCATTCGACATGGGGTTGGGTATTTACACCGGGTGCTGTGACCCAAACGTCAACAGAAGTTGTTCCTTACCTAGAGGAAAATTATGCCCTCTAACTTTACTTCAATTGGTACCGGCAGAATTATGAATTCTAATAGTTCCTTTATCGGGGCATTATCGTGATATTGAGCCTTCAAGGCAGGTATCCACACTTAATAACAATGGATTCTGTCTCTATATATCGTGTCAATGCCTAAGTACCTTACTATTCTGGTACTTTGAATAGTTGCCGTCAGTTCACTAACATCATCAACGTTTGGATTTTCCTCTACCCCTTACTGATAAGAAACTATATACGTAGAAAGCATATGAATGTTTCTTTTAAAAGATTTTTAGGCGGTTATATATGTGCTTTCGATTAATTTTAGATATAATTTACTTAAAAGTATATACCTCTTCAGTAATGAATATAATGCAAACACAAATGTAAGTAAACCAATAAATTAATCTTACATACGAGTATATTATATTTTATTTATTACACATAGGACTACTTTTACTTAACTCATTAAATTATTTAATACAAAATAATTTTTTTATGTTTTTAGTTTCTACTCCATTGAGATATTATACACAAGTACATATAACTTAACATATATATCAAACGTGTATATCAAATTGCGATTGCTTCAGTCAAAAGTATTGCGGTTTCATCGACCGCGTCAACCACAAAAATTTATGTTGCGCAAATAAT